GTCGTCGCTCGGTGGCCTACGCCACGGGGAACACGCCGAACGTCCCGTCGTGTTTGAACGCCTTCGAGCTAGGCGAGGAGCGCCGTCGGCCAGGAGACGCCGAAGTCGGGGCGGGAGGGCTGGGTTCGGGTACCGTAGGGGTAGGGGAGGGCGGTCTCGCGCAACAGTGTACTAGCAGCACCGCGTGGAGACACGGGGCTACGAATACGCTGAATGCCGCGGGAGGCGGCAGAAGACGGCGGAACCCGTCCCCTCTCGAGTGCTAGTTGGAAACAGGAGAGGAGCCCGTCTTCCGCGTCTTGGCCCGAGATAGGGGGAGATACGGGGAGATAGGGGGAGATCTTCCGCGTCTAGGCTCGGTGGCCGTCGGCGGCGGCGGCGGCGGCGGCGGCGGCATGGCTTCGGGAGACGGCTTTGGGCGAGGCGAGCGGCGGCGGCGCCGTCTCGCTATGCGCCGCGAACGAGAGGTCGAGCGCGGTCGAGACGGCGGCGGCGTCGGAGCGCTTGAGGAGCCTATGGATTGATCAATGAACCCGTCGACAGAGCAGGACGTGCCCCCCCAAGGGGGGTATCCCCCGTCCGCCACCTCGACGCGAACTCCTCCCCACCGCGGAGCGTCTAGCCTGTGTGGCCCGTGTGTCGCTCCAATGCGGCCGTCTCTCCGCCTCGCTGGTCTCCCACCCATACCGCCTTGCTGTCCGGCCACTGGCCAGACTTCGCCTCCCCTACTCCTACGGTACCAGAACCCACCCTCCCCTACCCCTACGGTACCCGAACCCAGCCTCCCCTACCCCTACGGTACCCGAACCCAGCCTCCCCTACCCCTCGGTACCCGAAGCCAGCCAGACTGTGTCTTCGCCTCTCCAGCTAACCAACTCACCGCTCCCTCGAGTAGTCGAAGCGCATCAGGTGGAGCGGCAGCAGCCGCGGCAGTTTCGACACGTGCTGCGTGAGCGCCGCGTACGCATGGCCGCACCGCTCGCACGTCACCTGGTGGTCGCACAACCTCGGGTCACCTCTGGTCACCTCGGGTCATCTCGGGTCACCTCGGGTCACCTCTGGTCACCTCGGGTCATCTCGGGTCACCTCGGGTCACCTCGGGTCACCTCGGGTCACCTCGGGTCACCTCGGGTCACCTCTGGTCATCTCTGGTCATCTCTGGTCATCTCGGGGCAATCTCGAGGCAATCTCGGGGCGGCACCTCCAGCGAGACGGGCGCCAGGTGCTCCTCGAGCAGCGACTGGAGCGAGGGCGGCGCGCGGCGGCCGCCGGGCGCGGGCGCCGGCAGCTGGAGCGAGAGCGAGGAGAAGGGCTCGCACCGCCGCCACTCGTGCCCGCACTTGAAGCAGCGCATCGTCTTGAGCACCTGCGCCGGGGGGCGGGGCAAGAGGTCTTGGGGGGCGGAGCACGCTTCTCGCGCAAGCGTGTCTTCGGAGCACCGTGGGGAGGCGAGGGCTGCGGGGAGATATGGGGAGATATGGGGAGATATGGGGAGATATGGGGAGATAGGGGGAGATAGGGGGAGATATGGGGAGATATGGGGAGGCGAGGGCTGCGAGTCGAGAGAATACGGCGGGATCCGGTGAGCTGTGTGCTGTGTGTCCAGCAGTCCGGACCCGGTGCTATAGCCGGTGACAGTGTGCCTCGTGTCGGCTCCCGAGCCAATCGTGTGCAGCGTGTGTGTGCGTGGGCCCGTCCTTGGTGCTAGGAGGTGTGTAGCACTGACTGGCTGGCTACAGCGGGATGATACGGCGGAGTGACAGAGGAATGCGCGTCCCTCTCGAGTGCTCGTCGGGACACACAGGCGCGTACCACCTTCGTACTCTGCATCCAGGCTACGAGAGATGGGGAGATATGGGGAGACGTGACCCGTGCTCCGCATCTGGCCTCGAGGTATGGGGAGATAGGGGGAGATATGGGGAGATATGGGGAGATAGGGGGAGACGTGACCCGTGCTCCGCATCTGGC